CCACAATGGGAGAGGCCGCAGCAGTGAGAGGCTCGCGTACCGCAAAAAATAAAAATAAAAAATACTAGAAACAGCTCACTAAAATCAGGAACAAGACAAGGAAGATTGCTATTGTTGCTTCTATTCAACTTAGCACCGGAAGTTAGTCTAGCCAGTGAAATAAGACAGGAAAACATGAGAGAAACATCTTTTTGAGGGTAAGTTGGATGAATAATCTACCTAGCTCTAATTTAAGCTCCAAGCATCACAGAGCCTTCTCTAATGCCCATCCCCAGCAACTGGACAGTTTTAACTCTCCCCAGTGCAACTCCATGCCAGAGCACAGTAAAACCTAGTTGGGATGTGCATCTAAATCCCTTACCTCCTGGGACTTCCCCCCCACCCCCGGTCCAGTGGTTAAGACTCCGCACTTCTGCTGCAGGGGGACGCAGGTTTGATCCCTGGTCGGGGAACTAAGATGCTGCACGCCGTGCCAAAAAATAAAATAAATCACTTACCTCCTGCTGGCTCCCATCTCAGGCACACACAAACCCTGTTGTTTTTCATTCAGCTTTATTTTCCCCCAAACCTCCAGTTCTCCTTAATACCAACAATATCTCCCTTCTTTGAGTGTTTGTCATTCTCTCCTAACTTCCCTACGGGAAATCTGAAAGAGCTGAGAAAGTAGATCTCTGATCCAGCTTTTACGGTGAACAAAGATAAAAAGAGGTTGGGATGGGTAGCCTTGGTTGCTATCAGGGCAAAATACAAAGAAAAATTTAATTGAAACATTCACATAGTCACAGCCGAAGGCAGCATAAGGATGGAAAGTAGGGTTTGGAATCAGACAGATTCAAGTTTGGATTCTGGTGCTGCTCACTTATTAGCTTTATGTCCATAACCTCACTGAACTCCCATTTACTGTCTGGAAGATGGAAGGCTTTCTGAAGGTCTAAATGAGATGGGGGCAAAGGGCCTAAGCACATGTGAGCCTTGATACACTTGCCTCCTGGACTTTGGCAGATACTAGTGGTTGCCCACCCAACGTCCAACTCCTCCACACACGCTCCCTCCTTTCTAGTAGCATCCTCATTTTTTTTTCTAATAAATTTATTCATTTTTATTTTTGGCTACGTTGGGTCTTCATTGCTGTGTGCAGGCTTTCTCTAGTTGCGGCAAGCAGGGGCTACTCTTCGTTGCGGTGAGCAGGCTTCTCACTGTGGTGGCTTCTCTTGTCACGGAGCACGGGCTCTAGGCGCACAGGCTCAGTAGTTGTGGCGCACAGGCTTTGTTGCTCAGTGGCATGTGGGATCTTCCCGGACCAGGGCTCGAATCCGTGTCCCCTGCATTGGCAGGTGGATTCTTAACCACTGTGTCACCAGGGAAGCCCAGAATGACTGCTTTGATGAGAATGAGCTTAAAGACAAAACCAACACTAAAGAAGAGCAGAGCAGAAAGATGGAAAGGCCCTACGCCACTTGATGAGCCGCCAAATGAGTCAACCTTGGACGTTGTGTTACTAGAGATAACAAATGTTATTGTTTAAGCCTCTTTCAGCCAGGTTTCGTTACTTGCAGTGGACAGCAGCCACAATGATACATGGACCTTGAGCCTGAGCATCTTTGGGAGTTCAAGTGCCTAACAAAAGCCATGAAGTGCTAGCACATACATAGTAGGGACTCAACATTAACGTTGTGTAATATCAGACCAACGACATACAACAGTCCTCTGTAGAAGGATACGTAAAAAGACACTCTGGAGGGACCTCAATGACTAGATCATATGAAAAACATGCCTGCGTTTCTCCTTTGCCATCTTTAAAATGCTTTAAACCCCACCCATTTGTATATCTAACAATTACCGAGCTCCCATACTGTGGAAAGAGCAAAAGAAAAATTAACGTGGGAGCCCTTCAAGGCGATCTTGGGCTCATGGGCAGACAATAAGACAATCTGAGTGGTACAGGAGGATTCTGATGTCTATCTAGACCCTAGCTGAGGCATAAAAAAGGAAGGATGTCAGGGTGGGTGTGCACCGACGCAGCTGGGCAGAGGCAGACACATAAGCAAAGGGAGCAAAAGGCACATGGGCAGGAAGGCCAGCCTGGCCCCAGGCTTGTTAGGGGAGCCTCGCAGGGTGGCTGGCCTGGAGCGGAGTGTGTGGGCTCGGCGTGAGGATGAGGTGAAGCCCTGGTCTGAGAGCAAGGCCAAGGAGGAAGCGAGCTGTGAGGGGCAAAGTCCTGCAGAAATGTCATGGGGTGGTCTGCAGCAGCAATGAATGGAGCGCCTTCCTGTGGCCAGAGAGGCTACCTCGGTGAGGCTGTGTGGCTGGAAGAAGTCCCCACTGAGGACAGAACTGTGCCGATTGGAAACTAAAGGCAACATGGACACAGAGTCCTGGCTGAGGAATCGAGAGTCCTGGGTTCCAGCCCCTGTTCTGCCACTGGGACTGTCATTTCTCCTCTTTGGGCCTCAGTTTCCTACTCTGTTAAATGACAAGATGGGGCCTATGATCTTTACAGCCCTCTCAAACCACACTATTGTAGGGTCCTGAGTCAAGGACCAAGCATGCAACACCATATATGGGACATATGGAAGATCTGCCTGGCGCAGAGATGGTAACCAGCCTCCACCTTGAACATCAGTTCCAACTGACTGCTTGTGGATACCTGGAGTGCTGTGTGGAGAAAAACTAAAACTGCAAACGACTCTGAGCTCTGCCAAAAAGAATGCTTGATTGATTGGTGATGTCTGCGTGGGCTCAGGATGCCCAAATGGTACAAGTGACAGAGATGTGCCAGTCCCAGCTTAACGTTTTGTTTCCTACTACGGTTGCAATTATGCGCCAACCGCTCCTGGTGTAAGGATGCTGAAGATTCGTTTCTCCTGGGAGCCTGTGAAAGCAGCAGCACCAGGGTTCCTCCTCCAGTCTGCAGCTTACCAAGCCTGTCTTTACTCAGGCAGATACCCTCGGGCTGGTCTGCCACTTGTTCCCAGTCCTCCAGGCTTCTTGCTTTTATCCCTGCTGTGTTCATCACCTCTAAATGTCTTGTCTTAGGCCTGTAACTCTGACCTCTCTTCCTGCAGCCAAGCAACTAATTAATTAAATGACAAGCTCTCAAACTGAGAAAGGCAACCTTCCTTTAAAAATTGTAGTCAGTGGGGCTTCCCTGATGGCGCAGTGGTTGAGAGTCCGCCTGCCGATGCAGGGGACACGGGTTCGTGCCCCGGTCTGGGAAGATCCCACATGCCGCGGAGCGGCTGGGCCTGTGAGTCATGGCCGCTGAGCCTGCGCATCCAGAGCCTGTGCTCCGCCACAGAAGAGGCCACAACAGTGAGAGGCCCACGTACCGCAAAAAAAAAAAAAAAAAAAAATTGTGGTCAGTGAACAATCCTGATCATTTCTCTCCTTTGTCTTTTATTTCCCCTTCCCTGGTGTCCTCCTCCCCACCCAGCCAGAGCTATAGCTTGAAGAGGGATGGCCACAGTGCCTGTAACAGACAGGGGGGTTATTTCATACACTAGGGCACCAGGCTGTGGTACAGCTGGCAGGAAGAGAGGGGTAATTATATTGCATGTTGGAGCCACCGGCAATTAATTTCTACATAAAGGACTAGATTTACCATGTATTATTTACGCCAGCATCAATTTTCCCAGCTGGCTCTATTTACTGTGCAAATTCTCCTCTGTTTATGGGCAAGGCCATGGTTCAGCACCTCTGGTTACTCGACACTGGAGGGGCCCCACAGGGCACCACGCACGTTAAACAAGTGGCTGGATTCACGGGGACCAGGTCACATCTTCCCTTCCTGTTAAATTATATTCCTGGGACTGCAGTGAGCTCCCGGTCTCACCTGGTCATGGTGATGCATGCAGGTTTGTGAAACCAAATGGGCAAGAGGGAAAGATGA